CTTGCTAGATGAACTTGCATCTAGCAGTCACAGAGACATCACGCCATGAAAGCAAGCTTGCATGATGCCGGCACGGTGCCACCATTTTGTTTACTGAGTATGAAGAGTTGTCATAATTAACTTGAAGATTCTCAGGTAATTTCGGAGAATCATAAGGATGGATAACCACCTGTCTCCGGAAACTAAGAATATAAAAAAGCCTGTTTCAGCAAATCCAGCTTTAACAAACGTAATAAGTGATACAGTTCTAATCTTCAATTTCTTTAATATCCAGTATCTCTGTATGAAATATAATATAAGACACAAGTTAGAGAAAATAATACGGCCTTCGTTTAAAAAGCTCGAATAGAGATAGCGCGACCTTTGATAGTAATGTTTATGTTTTTAGATGTAAGCTTGTCAACAAGAAATTTGTCAGATAAATACAAGTAAACTTTGTTGTTAGAGATTCGAGAGGTAAATCTTACATTAGATTAATACCTATACCATACTAGATTAATAACCTTAAAATTGTGTATTTTTTTATAGTAATGTCATCGTAGGCATCAATTACTTGATCTTTCTTCGAGAAAAAGTAATTAAAAAGGCCGATACGAGCAGTACATACAGGATGATCGTGTATAAAATAGAATTCTTTATTCAAAAAACAGACGTTTCGATCCACAAGTTTGGACCTTCTTCAGTGTAATGTGTTACATCTGATGAAAATAATAAAGGAATTAGCGCAAAGAATACATTGTAATAAGATTAAAAAATAACAATATAATTAAACTCACTAAATTAAAACAAACTAATAATTCACAACATCACCACAATACAATCAAGTGATGTCAATCGAGTGAAATACAAAACTGTGTACTGGCAAGAAACATAACAACAAGCAAATATATAAAGATATCCCCACTATATGATCAGAAGATCAAAAGTTCACAATAGGTCGAAAAACATGTTTATAAAAGTAAGTCTAAACATTTGATTTATACAATTCTAGAAAAGAAAAATAAAGTTTCAAACTGTCAGTATCCGACATAACATTTAATGAATTGTCCTGCAACTTAATGTGGAGCATTTCAGAAACTAATCGCTTATAAAAAAATGGTTCAGTGTCTAAAATTTTAACATTATTCCAATTGAAGTCATGACCAGTCTCTAAACGATGCTCCGTGATCACAGAAACAACAGCTGAATTTCTATTAATCTGATTTCTATGTTCACTAATTCTTGTTTTTAACTTGCGCTTCGTTTGTCCCACATAAGATACATTACAACTATTGCAATTAATCTGATACACAACATCTTTATTTTGATCATGTGTTAACTTGTCTTTTCCGACTTTAATAAATTTACTAAATTTATTCAAATTACGAAAAGCCAAAGAGATCTCCTTCGTTTTTTTAAATAATCTTGAAATAGAACAAGATAGTTGTGGAATAAAAGGAATAACAAAATATTTCTTAACAGTCTCAAGATCACTAGAAACAAATTTATTGTCATTGTTAAAATTTAATCTGTTATTGATTAAAAACTTAATTCTATACTTGATTGTCCTAAAAATAAATTGTAGAGGATAATTATTTATAAGGAGCACCTCAATCATAAATTTAAAATTTTTTTGTTGAAAACAAGGGTCAGATAATAACATAATTCTATCAACCATATTTAAAACAGTACCAATTTTTTGTGATTGCGGATGGGCAGAGTAAAAATTTAAATATCTGCCAGAAAAAGTATGTTTGTAAAACTAATCAAACATTACTTTACCATTAAAATTCAAAATCTTAACTTCCAAAAAACTTAAACAATCATTATTTTGAACTTCTATAGTAAATTGTAATCTATTATTGTAACTGTTAAACAAGTCTAAAAGTGAAGTTAAACAATCAGGAGGCGCTGTCAAAATAATATCGTCCACATATCTAAAATAAAATGAAGGCTTGGATTTTAATTTTTTAAAAATAAATCTCTCCAAATCTTGCAACACAATATCGGCAATAATTGGAGAAAGAGGAGACCCCATAGGCATTCCGAAAGTCTGTTTGTATATTTTATTATTAAAAGAGAAAAACGTAGATGTTAGAACAAAATTAATTGCTTTTAAAAATTCTTTTAAAGGAACTTTAGTATTATTCCTAATATATTTCCATCTAACTTTGATCCCTTTAATAGCTAGATCGATAGGTATATTTGTAAACAATGAAATAACATCTAACGATACAAGCAAATGACCGTGCTGCAGTGTAAGACCCCTTAATTTTTTAACAAGATCAAAACTGTTGCTAACAAAGCTGTTCGAGACAGGTATGCTTTTTTGAATCAATTTATTTAAAAAATCAGCAAAGTGATGCAACGGGCTATTTATCGTAGAAAGAATTAATCTAAACGGGGTATCTTTTTTGTGATATTTTGGTATCCCGTAAGCTCGAGGTAATAAGCCATCGCTAGATTTGATAGATTTATAAGAAAGATCCGAAATAAAATCTTTCTGTACCCAATTTCTTAACAGTTTATTAAGATTGTCTTCAATATTTTTAATAGGATTTCTATTAACCAAAGAATACGTCGTAACATCACTAAGCAATTCATTAATTTTTTCCAAATAAGAAGTCCGATCAACAGCTACAGTCACATTGCCTTTATCCGCGCGTGTAAACATAATATCAGGATGATTTTTTATGAAAATCGAAACCTGTTTGTGTCGAAAAATTAATTCTCTGTCAAAATCACAAAATCTCTGTGATGTACATAAAAAATTATAAGCGATTAGTTTCTGAAATGCTCCACATTAAGTTGCAGGACAATTCATTAAATGTTATGTCGGATACTGACAGTTTGAAACTTTATTTTTCTTTTCTAGAATTGTATAAATCAAATGTTTAGACTTACTTTTATAAACATGTTTTTCGACCTATTGTGAACTTTTGATCTTCTGATCATATAGTGGGGATATCTTTATATATTTGCTTGTTGTTATGTTTCTTGCCAGTACACAGTTTTGTATTTCACTCGATTGACATCACTTGATTATATTGTGGTGATGTCGTGAATTATTAGTTTGTTTTAATTTAGTGAGTTTAATTATATTGTTATTTTTTAATCTTATTACAATGTATTCTTTGCGCTAATTCCTTTATTATTTTCATCAGATGTAACACATTACACTGAAGAAGGTCCAAACTTGTGGATCGAAACGTCTGTTTTTTGAATAAAGAATTCTATTTTATACACGATCATCCTGTATGTACTGCTCGTATCGGCCTTTTTAATTACTTTGAACCTTTCACGAGCGATTGATTGATTTCTTCGAGAAATTATCATTTTGCACAATACCAGCATATATAGGCGATGAATTATCAGGAAATTGAGATTCAGAAACTTTATCTATGATTGAGAAAAAGAGATACTCTTACATAGGAATATGACTCTCGTAATAGTAAGAGAGATAAAGATTGTAACTTTAATATCCCCGCCTGAGTCGGGATATTAAACAAAAAGAACAGACCACTAACACTAACCCAAGAGTATTACTTTATAGAGAAATAAGTTTGTAAACGAAATTACGGACATAGGAAGACATAACTCGCGGAACAGAGATCACAACCTTTCTCTATAGGCGTCAACACGTGACAAACCAATTAAAATTATGGTTCGTATTAATTCTATGCTGTGTAACGACAGAAACTTTCTCCGCACGACGATTAGTCTGATTTTTGTGTTCAGAAACTTCAGTTTTAAGTTTTCTTATGGTCTGGCACATGGGTTTTTGGACAGTTATTTAAATTACCACTCCTCACACCGAGTCTCACAAAAAATAGGAACTATTATCAGAATGGTACAAAGAGCTCTGTTGTTGTCCTACTCTGTGTTTCAGACAAAAAACATAAAATTTATAATCAACGTCCTCATCTTCACCAACTATTCGGGAAAAATGATTTTTAAAGTCATCAATGACCGTGTAAAATATCTGATTGCGAACAAAAGTAATAGAAAATCAGACACTTTGAAGTCCACACTAACTTCAAAAGTCGTCAAAAATTATTTTGTTGTATCTTTTATCAATAAATTATTATACACAATTTCACAATCGCTGAAAAAATAAGATGGAAATTTGTTAGCTTATGGAATTCTCAATAAATTAAATTGATTTATTAAAAATATCAAAAATCCGATAGAAATTGAACAAAGAAAAAACGTAGTTTCTAAATTGCAATGTAATAATTGCGATGCTTCGTACGTAGGCCAGACCATGAGAAAACTCAAAACTAGGGTTTCCGATCACATAAATCAGATTAATCATCGTGCGGAGAATGTTTCTGTCGTTACACAGCATGAATTGATACAGACCATAATTTCAAGTAGCAAAATAAAGTTTTGGACACAGAATCTTCATTTTTCAAGAAGTCCATTTTCAAGATGATACACATCAAATTGCGAAGCAATTCAATTAATGTCAGACACGGACAAGCTAAAACCGTATTTTTCATTTTTGAAAATTACAAGGCGGCAAAATCATTCTCTGTTCGTTTCCAAGTGTTGTGGTAGAGTAGGAAGATCGTTACATGTACCATCAATGTAATAAGGGCTGCTCAGTCTGTCAATTGTTTTCGAAACGGGAAGATGTTTCGCAGCTTCTTGTGTGCGGCTGACAATTACTGAGTTGCCATTTCCCCCTTTTTTCCTCAAACTAAATATGTTTGTAGCGTATCTTTTTTTATATCCATGTTCTTCATTATTTTTGCAAATAAACTATGCATTTTTTGTAACTTTCTTATGTATAGACACTGAAGAAAATCCCATAGTGGATCAAAACGTTTGCATCAATTGTTAAATCTTCGGAATAAAAAAGAATTTTACTCGAACATTGAGTGTAGCTCGTTATCGTCTCCTCCCTATCTTTTATTTTGAAAGTGATACACTTATATGTTTTATTATTGCAAAACATGTCAAAAAGTCTCTAGAAATTATTATTTGCTTATTCAAAACTCGATAACCGTTGACAGAAGAATGACTACCGCTCCTCTAGTCTTTCACGTAAAAGAGAACGTTCACGGCGCATTGATTGGCCAAGTGCTTCCGCATAATAGCACATCAACAATTGTACCTGGCACTCAATTCCTTATCGTCAATCAGAAAGATGTACCTGATATTGCCATTATGAAAGATGGTTCTCTTCATGCTGTACAAGGTCTAGACCGTGAGACAAAACAAAATTATAGTATCACTGTACTTGCTGATAGTTTACGCGGCATAGGTATATTTCAGGTAAGTTTTCTCGAAATTTGTAACATCCTTATGTGCTGTCTTTATAATTGCTAAATTATTGACTTTTAACAAATTTTATTTTAATGATTTGAACGTTTAGGTACGAATCATCGTCGACGATGAAAACGATAACGCACCAGAATTCACATCTTTTATTTACGACGGTCAGATCATGGAAAACAGTCCTGTGGGGACGGAAGTTACTCTGACAAATTCAATTGTTGCGAGCGACAAAGATGAAGGCAAAAATGGAGAATTTACGTTCGTTTTGGAAGGTGAAAATAGCAGTCTGTTTAGAATCAATCCTTTAACAGGCCGAATATATTTTCAAGGTATTGATGAGAGAACTCTGGATCGCGAATCTAAAATGAACTACGAATTTCAAGTTATTGCTACTGATACAGGTAACTTTTGCAAACTTATTGATATAAAATTTTTAACTAAACTATGCTTTCTTTCAGTAAAAATAATAAAATAACAGAAGATAATTATTGAGTATAGGGTAATAAGATCCTTGACCTTGACATATGTTGTAAAGAGCATTCTTCTGAGTAGTGTTCAAGAGGTTTTAGGCGTTGCTCATTGTTCATTCAAAAAGTTATTAACAAAAAATGTTTGAAAATCCCGATCTTTATTTTTAGTGATAACATATAAAATAATGTAGAATAGAATCCACATTTGCTCGCAGTTATTTTTTCTAGGAAGATATTCTGAGTTGCTGATATAATGATACATAACATAGCCACACACACAAAAATTTCTTTGGCCTGGGGATCAGACCATGTTTATTATATGTTTTTGGGGTCCCTGAATCCGAATCCGAGATCCATTAAACCCCATCGGGTCGGGGTTCCGCCATAACCTCAAAAAACACNATAATCTGAGCTCGAAACCCATATAATCTTTTGATTCAAGTCATATACACAAAAACCAATTAGATATACCTCATAATCTCATAACCCTATATTCCCATAGCTCCATAAGCCTATCACGGCGATTAAAATGTCAATCATTCATGACCGAAGATTTCCTAAATTTATGGAATTAAATAAAATGATTCTATGACTTCGAATTTCGAACAGACATAACAGAAATTGTCGGGATTCGCATGACAATCGTGCGAATCGGAAACATTTCGTCGAGTTTGTCTTCTTGTAGCATTAAAATCTACATTAGCCAAGTTGTCAACTAATGCAGAACTGCGGTTGCTTGATGACGACGACTGCGGTCCCGCTTTCTCAAAGGGTTTCCTGACCAGCCGCCGATACCCGAAACCCGAAATTTGGGTTTCCGATACCCAAAGGTTGGCTTATTCTTGTGCCTGCCATAACGGCATAAACCCGTAATCCAGAGACTCAGCCGGATAGTGGTACAACTCCGTTGCTCGCCGTCACCGCGTGGAGGTGCCCTAGACGCAGGTACAGGAAGAACAACAGAGTGAGAAATTGACCCGCAATCGTCATCGTCATAAACCATAGCTTCAACCATTGACGATGATATATGCAACATGTATATAGAATGCTTCTGTTAGAACGAAAACATGGATTTCTGTTGAAGAAAATGAATCTGATAGTGAAGATAGCGATACTATCGTATCGAAGTATTCTCAAGATTGGTGTTGAATGATCTTATAGAAGACTTAGGTTTACCAANAGATGGGGTTATGGGGTTTATCTAATTGATTTTTGTGTTTATGAACTGATTGTGGTCATGAATGATTGACATTTTAATCGCCGTGATAGGCTTATGGAGCTATGGGGATATAGAGTTATGGGATTATGAGGTATATCTAATTGGTTTTTGTGTTTATGGCTTGAATCAAAAGATTATATGGGTTTCGAGCTCAGATTATGGTGTTTTTTGAAGTTATGGCGGAACCCCGACCCGATGGGGTTTAATGGACCTCGAATTTGGATTACGCGACCCCAAAAACATATAGTAAACATGGTCTGATTCCCAAGCCAAAAATAGTTTTTTTTTGTGTGGCTGTGTAATTATTTATAAGCGGTATTGTTGACTATTATTCAGTTGATGTTTCGGAGCGCGAAAACCACATCCATCATTCCAAGCAAAATTTTACATAAATACAAGATCGTTGTCGAAAGCGGGTGACTTTCGATATGTTGTTCCATGAATTTCTGTATTTGACGCATAATTCTTTTCATGAACGTTTATGGCGTGATATTCGAGGCGGAATTCTATAATACAATAGCCGAACAGAACATTATATTCATTATTTAGCCGAATTTGTTTTCAAACGTCACGTTCAGTATCACCAGCAGACTAATAAATTTTTTGACATTATGATAGCTTTATATCTTATTCATGATGTAGAAAGAACAGAACAACAGAAGTAAAAATATACCAATATATTACACTGACTACTTCGTTTATGTTCTTTTTGTTCGTGTTATAAGCGTATAGCCAGAGTGGCTTTGTCCCCCCGTAGAGACAGTGGTTTCGCCCTTCTCTCTGCTCCCACCATCGGAAAAACCACGTCGACAATTAAATATCGCTTTATGTTCGATAGTGTGTACGTATTATGTCAAGGGAAAGCAGGGGGAGAAGCAAAGCCATTTCCCCTGCAGGGGGCAAAGTCCCCCCTGCCTACACTTACAACACAAACAAACTTACAACTCTTGATGGTTTTCAACGGTCATTTTTGTGATTACATTTTTTATGAATATTTTTTCAATGAAAAATAAATGACCTAAAACCTCTTGGACACTACTTAGAAGAGTATCTTCTACAACATATGTCAAGGTCAAAGTCATCGGACCTTAATCTCCTACACTCAATAATTACGAAATGACAATATAAATAGTAAAGGAGATTTTTCTCTCCGCAGGTCAAGAGATTTAATATCTTAAAATTAGTTAGAGAAGTATACTCTCATATATGAGATGCAAGTATAGCATTCTACATAAATTTAAGAATTGAAATCTCAATCCAAAAACTCACGTGTAAGATTTACACGTAAACATGTATATATATATATATATATATATATGTATTTACAGGGTGTCCGACAATTACTTTAACATCTCTCGTAGGCAGATAGAAGGAGTGAAACTGAGTCGAAAAGTCCTGAACCATTTTTTTCTATTACATATAATAAAAGAGTAATTATTAAATAAATCAAGCCAATCAGCGCCGACCTTTAGCCGAACGCACGTCAGTGAACCACACGTCTGGTGTGCATGAGCGCTCCGCGCAGCTCACTGACGTAAGCCCGGGTAAAGGTCGGCGCTGATTGGTTTGATTTATTCAATAATTACTCCTTTATTATATGTAATAGAAAAAAATGGTTCAGGACTTTTCGACTCAGTTTTACTCCTTCTACCTGCCTACGAGAGATGTTAAAGTAATTGTCGGACACCCTGTATATATATATGTATGTATGTATATATATATATATATATATATATATATATACAGAGTGTCTGATAATGACCGTATAACCGCTCGTAGGCAGGTAGAAGGAATTATTCTGAGTCGAAAAGTCCTGAACCATTGTTTTCTATTACATATGATAAAAGATTAATTATTGAATAAAGTAAGCCAATCAGCGCCGACCTTTAGCCGAACGCACGTCAGTGAGCCGCGCAGAGCGCTCACGCACATCAGTTCCAGTCAGTCAGAACTGATCTTGTCAGTTGTACATGAATGTTTATAGAAGTCAAATTAGCTGATTACAAACTTGATGTCAAAAATACGCAACAACATCTCTACACGACAAACTGAGTTGCAACTTTTACACTCATCGTACATATAACGGTCTTCTTCTTCTCTCCCTACTACAATATTCCCAAATGAACAGATAATGACTATGTCGTGTTTTGTACATTTCCAAAAACAAAAAATACGGTTAGTTTATCCATGTCCGACATGATGTTAAATGAATAGTCTTATACTTTTATATGAATCATCTCGGAGACGGATCTCTTAAAAAATGATAGTTCAGAGTACAAACTTTTGGTTCATGCCATTTAAAATTGTAGTCCGTATCATTTTTACTTTGGATAATGACAGAAAACTTTTAGTACGGTGGTTTATCTGTTTGGCAGTTTTTGTGTTCAGACACTTTGGTATGGAATACTTTTGACACTGATATTATGCATAAGAACTCTATATAAGCTCTAGGGATTATGGAATGTTCGAAATCCACAAACAGAGCTATCCATATAGAATATCAGTATCTTTCATTAATAGCCTTCTATATTGTTTCGCGGAGTATCTACGTACTACCGGTTAAATGTGAACAACAGAAAAATGTAGGTTATAAGTTACAGTGTGATGATTGTGATGCTCTAAAATTTTAAAAACCATTGAAAACTTAACAGCAGAATTTAAAAATATTGTAGTCACTTGTTCCAAATCAGGAAAAGTAACAAAAAAGCTATATAAACAATTTCTGAATAAAATCATCAGGCCATATGTTAAAGATAACAAAGTTTTGCTGATTATAGATTCCTGGAAAAGATAAAAAGATTGTATTATGCACGATAAAGTTTTTAAAACTGAGTCTGGGGAAATAATTTGTATTTTAAAATTAATTCCTCCAAAATGTACGCCTATTTGCCAACCATGCGACGTATATTTTTATCGCCAGGTGAAACATATAATAAAAAGATTACAAAACTCTTCTGCTTTATTAAAAGCTTTATTAAAAGATAAGCGAGAAATAGCATCACGCAAAAATGCCATAAAAATAAATGCAATTGTTCACCAATTAAGCGCACCTATTTTTTTTCCCATGATCACATATGCATGGTTTGCTGCAAAATTGATAGAGGAGATCAATTTTTTAAATGTAAACGACGTATGCTTTCTAGTATCATTTTTGAAAAAGCATTGTGCGTGTAAAGATGTATCTTTTATAAAATGTGCATGGTGTAAACAAAACTTATGTTTCATATGCTTTTATGATAAATATCATCCAAATAATTGTAACCCAGAAAGTGTAGATAGTGAAGATGAGTAAATGTTTTGGCACAATATTGTTTCCAATTGTTCTGTAATTCTAAATTTTAATTATAATTATGTTCAAATACTAATGTCTTATTTGTTTCATTTTGTATTTGTTTTATTTTGCATTATATTATTTTATTTAATATTACTTTATTGGATAAATGCATAAAACAATACGCATTGACTGCGTTTAGGAAATGTGCTATCTATGCTTTGCTTTTATTTTTGCTATTGCTTTTATTACTTTTATTTTTATTGCTATTGGATTTGAAACAAAGTTAAATTAAACTTATAAAAATATTGCTATTTGAAAATACACACTAAAAACATTAAATTAATGGTGTAATTAATTGTATTTTACATGGATAAACATACGTTGTTACATTACATTAAAAAAACGGAAAAAAAATAACAACCAACAGGAATCAAATCC